GTATTACAGTAATCCAGCCAGGTAGTTACAAAGAAATAGATTACTGTCTCAAAACTTGTTCTTGGAAGGATGCATTTTATTTTGGCTAGCTGTCTCAAATGATAAAAGCTTCTTTTAATGACTGACCTGATCTGGCAGTCCAGCTAAAGTTCAGGATCCAGTTCAACCTCCAAATTCCTCACAGTCAATTTGCTGTACAGGGCCAAGGAACCAAAATCTACAGAGCATGGCCCAGAATTTTCCCCAAAAACTATCACTTCACTTTTGGAAAAAAATGTTTTAAACAGAGTGAGTGACAATGGACTGCCCTGGTACAGTCCAAATCCAACCCTGAATGAGTCTGACAATGTAATTAATGTGAATCAAACTCACCATTTGTATAAGGACTGAATGGCCAGTAACAACAGACCTTCAATCCCATACTCACAGAGCACCTACCACAGAGAGCTCAAGCTGTTTGGTGAATAGCAATGGAGGATGAAAATAAGTCTCTGCTTTTTTTGTTAGGTAGGACATAAAAAAAAACATGGTAGCATTAGAAGAACATAGACATATGCAAATTGTGATTTACACACGGCTTTGTGATTCCTAAAGGAATTTTCTTATCACCACATCACGTCAAGCTTAAGGTATCATTTCAAAACATGGGAGATGGTCTAACCAGTCCATAGATACCAAATGATGGAGCTTAGGGCAAAAATAGGAAAGTCTACATCTGACTAATTAACAAACGCACTGGAGAAATGGACTACAGTGGACTGTAGCATCACATTACCATAATTTCTAACTACTTTACTGTTATTTATCAATTATTTTATTTTTTTATTTTATGTATTTTCAGTTGCACTTTGAGTTTGCACTTTTTTGTGAATGTATTAAAAATGAACATATGAATCTAAAGGAGGAAAAAAATTTTTGGTTTTTTGGATTTATGTATGTTTACTCATTTATTCAGCCATCAACCATAATTTATTAGAATTAAAAATCTTTGCTTATTGTGTCAAATATTGTTATTTGACAAACATGCTATTAAAATGTGAATAATCTAGATTAATTATGTAGTGGACTAAGCCTACGTCGAAACCCAGTCTAAGGTCAAAACTCTTGACCTTTAGAACCTTGTGGGACAGAAGCTGTCATTTCATGTATTTGACTCCATAAATACAGGTTCACCCATCCTGAGACTTTCTTTCTTGAAGATTCAAGTGAAAAGAACACTCTCTTTTTATTATCATTACTATCTTACAAATGTTGATAATCAAAGTGTCTTAGTTCAAACCATTTTAGATGTTGCAGTGAACTAATCAATTTTATTAACTGAGTAATGATTTTATTCTCATGTTAAAAGCTGTTGCAGAGTAATTATGCATTTTTCTGATTTCTGCTTTTGAATGAGCAAGTGTGTGCGTTTACAAGGTTACAGTCAAACGAAAAACAAGTTGTTATGTTAAAACTGTCATGTTTTAGAATCCTCTCAGACGTAAATAGAGATGTTTTGCACCGGTGTCTTAGGCACGCCAAAACAGAACCCTCTCGGTCTGTGAGAACATTTCTGAGCTGTCTCATAACAATTCTCGCTGTCTCTAACCCCTTACGTCACAAAAACACACCCCTTCTGGTCGTTTCTGACCAATGAAAAATCCCAAAAAGTGAACCGGGAAAGAGCCTTTAAAATGTCAGTACTTCCTGGTCTACACAGTTACGGACTCACAGGTACTCACAGAGTGACTTAAGACTCACGGAGTTACAGAGTTGGAGAGTTGTCAGACTTCAAGAGTTCTGTGGGAGTTCTGTAAACTACACGAGAGCTAAAGTTCTGATGGAGTGCTGTTGGAGTTCCTGACATGACAACGAAGCTCTTCCGAGTTCCATGGGATTATAACATTTTCCACTGAGGTGAATGTGTGTCGAACAGAGCCTCGCCACTACTTCTGACGGGCAACAGCCATTCTAAGGAGACGCTGGACCGGTAGCGTTAACGGAACACCATATCTGCTGATTATCATCAGAGAGGTAATGGGTCAAGTTTCCTACCAAGCGTACCGAGGCGAGCTGGGCTTCTGATGGAGAGTGTCGGTTCTGGAAAACACTTAATTTCCCTCACACACCATCCTTTACTCCCTCTAAACTTCTTTCCATCTTTAAACTTTCCTATGAAGTAGAAATTCTCCCAGATATTTAGAAATGTCTGTGTAAAGTGCTTATTCACATCCGTGTGGGTAAAAGATCATAGTTGTACAGTTTTATAAATGTCTGTGGTGCAGCAACGGTAAAATCATGGCCGTATGATTTTTCCTGATTGATTGCTTATGTTGTTATTTTCATAATTTGCCAAATTAATGTAAATGTTTGATGTTAAATTTGATTCTGTAAATAAATGACCGCATTCATTTTGATGGGTCAAATTTAAATGACGTCTCACGTTTGCATTTCCTTAAATTCAATGCACGTTTTATTCAGTCCAGAAAAATGAGGAATCCGCGTTAAATGATGAATACATCCCAGCATCTGTTCATCTACAATTATCGGTAATTATAAAGCTTGAAATTACCCCAATTTTTTTTTTTTTTTTTTATATTGAGCCCCAGCTTTAATATATATCTGTTCATACTGATCATTGATCTGTATCCAGTCTATAACCTGGGTAACCAGCTGACCAGGCTTTAAGGTAAATGAAAGAAAACATGGGATTCTCAGACATTTAAACAGCAAATGAACCAAAATAAAACTCAGTTGAGGTCTTACCACAATCCCAGTAGAGGGGCTGAGGTCCAGCTCAATGATGAAGCGGTACCTGCGGGCCAGGAAGGTGGCCTGGGTGGAGGGCATTAAAACACAAGGCTGTGTGCTGGGGGGGCTCTCTAGCTGCCATCCTTTAGGTAACAAGCTCAGCAAGTCCAGCTCATTTTCTGAGCTCAGCTGGAAGAGAGAAGATGTGGCATCTCCATAAAATTGAACATATACAGACCTGAGATATGTCTCCAATAAACAGATCAATCGATTTATGTGAACTCTGGACCTTTCAGTCCTTCCCAGGAACACAAGAAATATGCAGCAGATAAAAGAGCTAAAGAAGAAAGCCTCTGAGAGATTTGGTTAACTCACCACTTCAGGCTTTGAGGCAGGCCAGATGACCTGATTGAGTTTATTGAGGAACCACGCCAAGCGCACATTTCGAGATATCCGATAGTCCTCCTTCATGAGCAAGTAGATATGGTCAGCCTCCTCCAACTAAACATAAATCACAGATGGGGAAGAAAAAAAAAGACCTACTGTGAAGAAAAAATGGGTGATTTTTGTTCAGAAGCTCAAAAACTAAATAAAGACTTGTTTGTACACTAGCAGCAAAAGCAGAAGAAAACTCTGGTTCACATTCATTTGGACTATGCAGATCCACTTTTTGTGCACCACCTGATCCTACTGTCTTCTTATTCTGTATCATGCCCACGAAACAAGTAAAGCTAACAATATCCTGGAGAAAATATCTCATTTAGTTCAGTAGATAAGAGCATTGTGCAACTCCCAGCAGATCCCAGGAGAGAGGAAATGTTTCCCTCACTTTGTGTCACAGTCTGATCTTTGACAATCAGACTAACTTTTTGTTCTGGCAGTAATATAAATAATACAAGTACATCCATCCATCCATTATCTTTTACCCGCTTCTTCCATTTTGGGTCACGGGGGTCGCCGGTGCCCATGTCCAGCAATAACTGTGCAAGGAACACAAGTAAATTTCCCTCTAAATGCTGAATACCATACCATTTTATTTATAGAGCACTTAAAACAGCGACAAGGCCAACCAAAGTGCTGTACAGACAGAACAACAGGTAACACACAAAGCAAAATACAAAATGAAGTAAATCAGAATATAGACATAAAAACGATGCAGATAATGACGACAAACCAGTGTGGAGCATACAGGTTCAAAACACAGATCATCTGGTGTTGAATGCTGCTAAATAGTAGTGAGTTTTTAAATGGGACTTGAAAACCGAGAGGGAGGGGCCTGTCTGACAAGCAGAGGTCACTCGTTACAGAGTCTTGGTCCTGCTACAGAGAAGGCCCTGTCACCTCTGCGCTTAAGACGAGTTCCTGGAACTGTGAGGAGAAACTGGTCCACTGACCTCAGGGAACGTGGTGGGACATACGGTTGTAGCAGATCAGAGAGATAGAGGGAGGGGGAGGTGGGGGGCGAAAGTGTTCAGTGATTTGTAGACATACATGAGTATTTTGAACTGGATTCGAAAGTGAACTGGTAACCAGTACAGTGAGGCCAAAACTGGTGTAATGTGCTCTCTTTTGCCTGTACTGGTGAAAAATCGGGCTGCTGCATTCTGGACAAGTTGTAGTCGTGCAATGGAGGTTTGACTGATACCAAACAGGAGCGAATTGCAGTAATCAAGCCTAGATGTAATGAATGCATGAATTACTGTCTCCAGGTTATTTTTGGACAATATGGGCTTCAGTTTAGACAGCCGCCTCAGTTGGAAGAAGCATGATTTAACAATCATGTTTACATGATTGTTAAGTTTCAGGGAAGGGTCCATTATCACGCCCAGATTAGTGACTCTTTGTTTTTCTGACAGGGTTAGAGCGGAGAGGTCGATGCAGTGGTTTGTGATCGTGTCATTGGGAGGGAACAACATGACTTCAGACTTCTTTTCATTGAAACTTAAGAAGTTTAAAGCCATCCAGTCCCTGATGCCAGCCAGGCAGTCGAGCAGAGGTTGAATAGAGCATGTGCCATTGTGTCTTAAGGGGAAGTAAATTTGACAGTCATCGGCGTAGAAGTGGAAGAGCATGTTGTGTTTCCAGAAAATAGCACCAAGTGGCAGCAGGTATAAAGAAAATAGGAGGGGACCCAGGATGGACCCCTGCGGAAACCCCCATTTAAGCTCTGCCGCTGCAGAACTAAAATCCTTGATGGAGACACAAAAAGATCTGTCAATGAGGTAAGATCTGAACCAATTGAGGGCTGACCCTGTGATGCCCACCCACTGCTCTAACCTAGCAATGAGGATCTCATGGTCGATGGTGTCAAAGGCGGATGTGAGGTCCAATAGGACAAGCAGCACAGAATCACTGGTATCAGTGGTTAAGAAAATGTCATTAAAGACCTTCAGCAGGGCAGTTTCAGTGCTGTGGAGAGGTTTAAAGCCAGATTGGAATAGCTCTAAGATGGCGTGACCCTCCAGGCAGCACTTCAACTGGGACTCGACTATTTTCTCCAGTAGTTTAGAAACAAATGGGAGTTTGGAGACAGGCCAGAAGTTGGACACGACTGAGGGGTCAAGGTTTGGTTTTTTTCAGGAGAGGCTGGACAGCAGCATGTTTAAAGGATTTTGACACCACGCCAGTGGATAAACTACTGTTTACTATAACAAGAATGGACGGACCTAGAATAGGAAAAACCTCCTTTAGAAGTCGAGGGGGGACCACATCAAAGGGGAAACCAGAAGGTTTCAAGCTGCGCATGACCTGCTCTAGAGAAGATAGAGTGATGGGTTCAAAATGGTCAAAAGGAGCTACAGATTGAGGTGGGATGGATGGGTCATGAGTTGGAGGGGAAATGAGAGCCCGGGTGGTCGCAATCTTTTCCAAAAAGAAATGTAAGAAGTTCTCGCACAGCTCAGTCGAGGCTTCCAGAGGTGAAGGTTCAGTGAGGTGGAGAACAGAGTTGAGGGTGGAGAAGAGGACACATGGGTTGTGAGAGTTTGAGGTAATTATATCAGAGAAGTATTTGGATTCAGTAGCTTTCACACGGATGCACCAAGCCAACGGCCTGAAAGTGGTACCGGTCAATCTTGATTTGCTCAAATCGGTGACTGACTAGACAAATTCAAATAATTAATTTATATTTATATATATATATATATATATATATATATATATATATATATATATATATATATATATATATATTATTGTCCTTAAACAGTCAGTACTAAGATATCAAACATTTTTTGGCCCATGAACGCACCATCAGCAAAGAACGCAGAAGCCAGAGCCAATATGTCTTCGGTGTGAACGTTTACCGCAAGTAAAGACAACCACAAGATGGCAATTTATAATATGCGAGAAGAAAGAGAAGCCACAACCAAAACATTTGGTACAAAAAATTTTAATTTGACATTTAAAACTACAAAACCAGATTCCAAAAAACTTGGGACACTAAACAAATTGTGAATACAAACTTAATGCAATGATGTGGAGATGGCAAATGTCAATATTTTATTCATAATATAACATAGATGACTGATCAAAAGTTTAATCTGAGTAAATGTAACATTTTAAAGGAAAAATATGTTGAATCAAAATTTCACAGTGTCAACAAATCCCAAAAAAGTTGGGACAAGTAACAATAAGTGGCTGGAAAAAGGAAATTGAGCATATAACAAACAGCTGGAAGACCAATTAACACTAATTAGGTCAATTGACAACATGATTGGATATAAAAAGAACTTCTCAGAGTGTCAGTGTCTCTCAGAAGCCAAGATGGTAAGAGGATCACCAATTCCACCATTGTTGCGCAGAAAGATAGTGCAGCAATACCAGAATGATGTTACCCAGCATAAAATAGCAAAGACTTTTAAGTTATCATCATCAACCGTGCATAACATCATCAAAAGATTCAGAGAATCTGGAACAATCGCTGTGCATGAGGGTCAAGGCCGTAAAACTCTACTGGATGCTCGTGATCTCCGGGCCCTTAAATGTCACTGCACCTCAAACAGGAATGCCACTGTCAAGGAAATAACAGAATGGGCTCAGGAATACTTCCAGAAAGCATTGTCAGTGAACACAATCCACCGTGCCATCTGCCGTTGCCAGCTGAAACTCTACAGTGCAAAGAGGAAGCCATTTCTAAGCAAGCTAAACAAGCTCAGACGTTTGCACTGGGCCAGGGGTCATTTAAAATGGAGTGTGGCAAAATGGAAGACTGTTCTGTGGTCAGATGAGTCACGATTTGAAGTTCTTTATGGAACACTGGGACGCCATGTCATCCGGACCAGAGAGGACAAGGATAGCCCAAGTTGTTATCAACGCTCCGTTCAGAAGCCTGCATCACTGATGGTATGGGGTTGCATGAGCGCTTGTGGCATGGGCAGCTTGCATGTCTGGAAAGGCACCATTAATGCAGAGAACTATGTTCAGGTTCTAGAACAACATATGCTCCCATCTAGACGTCATCTCTTTCAGGGAAGACCCTGCATTTTTCAACACGATAATGCCAGACCACATTCTGCAGCAATCACAACATCATGGCTACGTAGGAGAAGGATCCAGGTACTGAAATGGCCAGCCTGCAGTCCAGATCTTTCACCTATAGAGAACATTTGGCGCATCATAAAGAGGAAGGTGCGACAAAGAAGGCCCAAGACGATTGAACAGTTAGAGGCCTGTATTAGACATGAATGGGAGAGCATTCCTATTTCTAAACTTGAGAAACTGGTCTCCTCTGTCCCCAGACGTCTGTTGAGTGTTGTAAGAAGAAGGGGGGATGCTACACAGTGGTAAAAATGGACTTGTCCCAACTTTTTTGGGATTTGTTGACGCCATGAAATTTGGAAACAACAGATTTTTCCCTTTAAATGATACATTCTCTCAGTTTGAACTTTTGATCTGTGATTTGTGTTCTATTCTGAATAAAATATTAGATGTTGGCACCTCCACATCATTGCATTCAGTTTTTATTCACAATTTGTTTAGTGTCCCAACTTTTTTGGAATCCGGTTTGTATCACCCTCAGGAAAATACCCCAACATTCATAAGTTGCCCCCCCAAAAAAACCTAAGCTAAGCAGCTAAGGCTCAAGCTAGCAGCATGAGCCCACAGACATCCACACAACCCAGCAACCTTTGCTGTCCTCCGCTCAAATTATCACCAAAAGATGGTGACATGAAAGAAATGCTTTGTTTGTGAAGAAACACCAACGCTGACGTGATTGTAGTGCCAGAATTTGTTGAAAAGATGAAAAGAACATAAAATTGTCTTGTTGTTTTTTTTAATGGTTTATAGTACTTAGTGCACCTATTTTTGTTTGCAAAGTGCAAATTGAACATTTGAAATAAAATATTTACTTTAGTACTAAAAATAAGTACTTTAGTATGTAGTATTTTGAGGTTGTCATGTGCTTTACATGTTGAGTTAGGTCAAAATAAGCTAAAGGTTGGTAAAGGAATGGTTCACATTTTATGCTTTGGTGCACAAAAGCAACATTCTGACATTCA